TAATTAGCTCCACTGGTGGCAGTCTCAGTAGAATGACTGTAGTTTGAGAAGGCTTTATACTGAACTACCATCTAATCTGAGAATTGGGCTCTCCACCTCTAGGCTGAGTCACATTGGCAGAAAAATGCCCCTGTGCACTTGTTCTGAGGATAATCAGGACATCAGTCTCCAGGGCTGTCAAACTATTAAAATGAAACTTTGTAGTTCTTCATTTTTAAAATGGGACGTTCAATGAAAGAGTTTTTGTTTGGCTGTGTAGCGGGGTGAGCACCAGCTCCAGCCGGAAGGGGTTGGAAAAGCCCTGCAGAGGGCTGGGGCTAGGGCTGGGGCTGGGAGCAAAACCCCAGCTGATCGGGGGAAGTGGCTGCAGCTGGGGCCACGCCCCAAACAGACTAACCGGGCCTTATAAGAAGGCCAGGGCAGCCAGAAGCTCAGCAGTCTCTCCTCTAGCTAAGGAGGGAGATAAGCTTGGCTGCTGGAAGGTTGAGCGGTACCTGGGAATGAGGCAGGCCTGGGGAAAAGCCAGAGGAGCAGGGGAGCTCCAGGCTGGTGGCTCCCCAGGCTGTAGGGCCTGGTTCCAGCCCCATAGAGGTACTGGGTGATAGAAGAAGGCAGCAGGTCAAACCCCCCCCCCCCCTTGCCAGTGATGAGTGGCATACACTGCAGTCTGCCCCAGGGAATGGGGGCTAGCTGGTGACTGGCAGTAGCCTTGCATGGAGGCAAGGTGGGGATAGGGGGTGGGGGTTCCCCTGGGTGGGGAGACCCTGAGTGGTTACTGCCAGAGGGGCAGCACCCCAGAGAAAGGGGCACTGGGGTCCTGGGAGGGACATGGGGGCCAGCGGTAAGGTGGATCATCAGCCTGCAGAGGGTGCTCTGGAAGCTGGATAAGCTAATTCCTGAAAGAGACTAGCAGGTGGCACTGCAGGGGTGAGTCCACTCGCTTACAGGCTGGTTTATTTGTTTTTGAAAATCTAGATTTCAGATGAAAACACACACCAGTTTGGTGCAGTGCAGTGTGCTCCAGCACCCCCAGGGATCCCTTACACCTGCCCCTGCTGCACCCCGGCAGGCAGGGATAAAGGATTCCCAGGGAGGCTGCAGGGAAGTTTGGGGGCTGTCTCTCACTCACTGCCCTTACAGTGTATGCTGCCCAGACACCTCTGCACACGCAGCCCTGGGGGGGAGCCAGATGCAAGGGCTAGAGAATGGAGCAGGACCAACCATCTGCCCTGCAAACAGAGGGAGCAGCAGAGCTCCCAGCTCAGTATGGCCAGGGGAGGGTGACCCCAACACCCTGGCTGCTCCCCTTCCCTGCAGGGCAGCTGCTTGGTCACTGCTCCACTCTCTGGCCTCCCTTACCTTCTGTGGGGCTGTGTGTGCAGGGGTGCCTGGGCTACATGCCCTACCAGGGAGGGGAGTGAGAGACAGCCTCAAAATTTCCCTGCAGCAAGGAGGAGCCAGAGCCACCACCAGGGGAGACTATGGGGAAGTTTTGGGGCTGGCTCCCACTCACCATCCTGGTAGTGCATACAGTCCAGGTCCTCCTGCACACACAGCCCCAGGGAGGCCCAGGAGCAAGGGACAGAGTGGAGCAGGGACCAAGCGGCTCCCCTGTAAGGAGGGGGAAGCAGCAGAGCTTTTGGCTCAGCACGGCCAGAGGAGGGATGGTCCCCAATGTCCCAGCAGCTGGGAGCTGCCTCCCACCTGTCAGCTTTGCTTCCCTGCTCAGGGCAAGTTCTGCACAGCAGCGAGGAGGAGCCGGAGCTGCCACCACGAGAGGAGCAGGAATGAGGAGTGCACTTGGCCAGGCAATAATGGCACTTCTGGCTGCCTGCAATGCTGGTCTTCTGATGCAGGGAACTCTGGGATACACTTGGAGGACTTCCAGGACACACAGGAAAGCAATAGGGCTCAGACCCTAGATCCCAGTTTAACACTGGCTTGGACCTTCCAGTCCTGTAGGGTTCTGGGAGCTCTAGGTTAACACAATTGGTGTGTGGGTACAAGGAAGATTAGGCTTGAGCCCAGGTCTACACTACTGTGTAGACATACCCCTAGGGACCCTTTATGCTGCACTGATCCTTGTATCTGGTTTAAAGGGGCTGGAGAGGAGATAAGGATCTCACCCTACAATGTTCTAGTCAGGTAGAAGATAGATTACCTCAGAATTCTAACTGTAACCTGGTGTCAGGCTGTAAGACCCTGTAGGGAAGTGTAGAGCTGATCCGCTGACTCATCTTTATCCAGAACAAGTGGATTTCATTAGCTTCACTAAGGAATGGAAAAGGCCAGAGCCCCTCTGAAGCAAAAGAGAGGATACAGAGAAGAGCAGGACTTCTGGCAGAGACAGACCATACTCCTCATTCAGGAGGGTTTGGGACTAAGGCTTGTGAACCTGATCCTGCAATTCTGTGACTGGTCATAGGGGTTTACTCACAAAGTTCTCAGGACATAGACTGGTAACTACAGTCTCGCCTTAAGGTTTTGTTACTTTAATGATGAATAAAGATTAACCCCAGGAAGGGAGGCTTGAGTTTAGCAGTATCAGCTGCATGGGTAATGTATTTGCTGCCCCTACAGTTTTGGTGTCATCCATAAATATGATCACAGTTGAATTTATGCTAAAAGAAACATCCGACAAAGAAAGAAATGAAGCAGCCATATAGGATAAAAAGATGTACTCTATATTGTAGTTTAATGGGTCCATTAATAATCCAAATCCTATTACAGTATTTGACTGCACTATACATTGTAAGAAGCTTGAAAACTAACAGACACTACACTAATCTATTATGATACCTGCTACTCCCCAAGCCTCTTGGAAGTGCTCCACTCTCCACCAGTGGTCTATGGGTTATTACTTGAGAACCACTGAGATAATAGCAAGTGAAAGAATTTCCATATTTGTTTTTCACTCATTGGATAACAATAAGGCAACACATAACCCCAAAAATATAAATACACCTGCATGGATAGAATACAATTTACTGTATTGTATGTTTTTGCTATTTCTCCCAAGGATGAGAGGGCCCCTTAAAACAATCATTATGCTTGTCTACAGGGGGAGTTATTCCTGACTAACTCCATTTGTGGATGGAGCAGAATAAGCGTGCCTTATTGCAAATAAACTTAATCCACTTCCAAAGTGGATTCACAGTGGATTAAGTTAATTTGGGATAAAACACTCTTATTCTGGAATATTAGCATCTACACATGGAGATAATCAGGAATAATTAATCTGTTTTAAATTTACACACTATTTTATTCTGGATTAATCTTCACGTGTAGATTAGCCCTTTGTTATCTGTAGTACAAACCATGTGTCAATTCACTATAATCTGTCTTGTTTCATGAAAGCAGCAATAGCCTCAAACAATGTTATAAAACTATCTGAAAATCGGAAAGTATATTTTTCAAAAATTCACACAGGTTGTGAAAAATAATATAAACACTATATACATTATAAGAAAAGGAGACATACTTGGTCTCCATTGTGAATGCTCATAGAGTTTAAGCCCAGAAGGGACCACCAAATCATCTAGTCTGATCTTCTGAATATCACAGGTCACCACCACCACCACCCAGACCAGTACACTAAACCCAAGAACTGAAAATAGACCAAAGTATTACAGCTCACAGAATACTAATCTATTACATGCCACAGGCAAAGAATAGGAGGGACCAAAGTGAACCAATGCCCAAGGTCCCTGCAATGGCAGCGAATTAATTCTTTTATATCCATCTCTTTTTTTTTTTTCTGGCCTGATGATCTACAAACTTTGCTGCTTTCTTGCTTCCTCTGCTGTGGTAAAGATACAAGTATTCCTGAAACTATGAGAGATGGAGCTAGATATAATACTATCATAACTTTCCCAATTGCTTTTTAATAATTAAAAGGGAAGGTCTTTGGGCAGTAAGTATTTTTAAATAATACTTACCATCCCTTTAAAAAAAAATGCATTTATATCCAATCCAATGCCCATTGAAACCAATGGAAAAATTTCCATAATCCAATGGATGCTGATCAGAATGTATAAGAGCTAAGTACTGTTATTTTTATTTTATTAACAAGAGTATTATCTAATCAAGTATCACAGTATCTTCATAATGTAGATTATTTTTCCTTTAAAAAGTACTTAGTAATAATATCCTAGATGGATTGGGCTATACACAAAATTGAAGACAATCGTGTCACTTTTTTTTATTCTTTGACCACTCATTCCTAAAGTCTTCTGGCCCTAAAAAGTCTGTATCAACCACTGATTTAAAAGTACTTCCAACATCTGTGTGGTCAAATACAAATCTATATTGATTCAGTTACAATAACAAAGGAAGAAACCATAAATAAAATAACAGTATTAGTTGAGGTGTCCTCTAAGAACTAAAGATTGGATATCAGTTCCCAGTATATTATATTTGGGCAGTAGGCACAAGATGAACCTCTGAATTCTCATATATATATATGCCATTGCCCTGCCCAAATTTCCACTAATGCAAAGGGAAAAAATATCTGCGGGATAATTATTTCCAAAATGGTAAACCGAAAATGTAAAACCATACTCCCAAATTAGAAAAGAGATTTAAAAGTTCTCAGTAGATCTATAGCCCCTTCATGACACCTCCCCAAAATGGAGTGCAGGGAAGGGAGCCCAAGAAAAATGGAGCAGATAATGTAATGCTGCAGTAACAACTCATGCACAGGCCAATAACCAATTTATTCTGGTGGCACTGCAGGGAGCAAATTTAAAAAAAAAAAATTTCAAAATCCAGGCCACAATTCAGATCTACAAGTGCTTCACTACTGGGTCCCAAGCAGAGAGAAAAAAACTTCATCTGAAAACCATCAGGCTGAGGAGAGACAAGGAAAAAGAGAGTGCCAAGGGAGGAAATGAGCTAAAGTTAAATAAATAAACAGACTCTGCTGCTCAGAAATTAAGAGCAGTAGGAGTCTCAAAACTATTTTCAATAACCCCTAGTTTAGATATTAATTGTCTCAACAGTGGTTCGCCAGCTCCTCCTCCCAGTACTCAGGACACCACCACATCGGCTCCTGTTTCCAGCGCACAAGATCAGCAGGATGACGACTCACCGGCTCCTCCCACACCAGTTGAGCATGGTGACAGCTCTCTGGCTCCTCCTCCTCCCAGCACACAAGCTCATCAAGGTGGTGTCACACCAACTTCTTCCAGCATGGAGTCTCAAAGCAGAAACTCACTGGCTCCTGCTCCCAACCAGGGCTGCAGGCAGGATTTCAGGAGCTCCGACAAGAAGTAAAAGTGGACCCTTCATAGCGGTTCAGGCAGACACTGGAGGATGGGGACAGTAGAAAATGGGCAGGAAGAAGTGACACTTAATAGTGTGTTCAGAACCTAGCAACAGTTGGCAAAGATACTGGAAGAGGAATAGAGGTCTGGGACCAATTTTTTGATTTGTAATGAAAATCCCACAGTGTAGAAGAAAAATTCAAAATGCGTCAATATCTTCAGATTTATGATATACAATACATGCATGCCCTACTGTAGTTCAGAATGGATTATAACTTGTTCCAAAAGAATACAAATGTTCTTTATAACCAGATAATAGACACGCTATTTAAGATAATGCCAAAAATAAAACCACGAGGAGCTTCACAGCCCAGACCAAACACCCATCTATACATTTGAGAGAGAGATCTTTAGTCTTCCAGACAGAAGAAGGTTCTTTACTATAATCCGAGGGATCCAGAGAGGTTTGAAACAAGGACAGACAGTGTTAGGATGCAGATAGTGTTAGCCTTCAGAGGGATGGAAAAACAGGGACTCAAGGACCCAGATCTACAGAGACTTAGGCACCTAAACCCCAAAGGGCTTCCCTTTCTTGATCCAGGCCAAGGATACTGTTGGGTCAGCAGGGAGTGCTTCTCTCAGGAGCTTCTGTTTTTGCCCTAATAAATAAATAAAGGGAGTGGGGGAGAAGAGGGAGCTAAGGCTCACTTTTATCTCTAAGGAGTTGGGAAGAGGCTCAGGTTTCTTTTGGCCTAGAATTGCATGGAGGACCTGGAGCATCTTTTCTCCTCTGGAGATAGTAGGGGTGTGGTTGCCAGTGTGTAAGCATTTTGCCAGGGCAGTTCTCCATATTAGTCCCCAGAGGGTCCTATATGTGGTCTGGTGAATTTTAGATTATTTCTTAGAAGAGTGAGAGAGGAAAGGCAAATTACAGTAACCCGAAGGCAGATAACATCACCTGGCAGCACTCAGAGTCCTGTCTAATTTGAAAAACTGTCCCTTAAACAAAGTTGTGTGTCTTTCTCCACTCCATTTCCCACAGCTTCCCACTCCGTTTTACCTCATAGGAGGAGGTGCAGGGGACAGACACTTGATTCTGCTGGCTGAGGTCATGATCTCCTCTTCAGGCCTCCTTTCTGCCAGTGCCCTGGCTCTACGAAGTTTAGTTGATTCACAAGTCCCAAATATCCCTTTTTTCACTGAACATGAGGAGTCCCTTCCCTTTTTCTCCAGGGACTAGAAAGCAGGTTATGAAGGGGGAGAGGGGCTCCTGCTCCTCCTGACCTGGAGGGCAGTTCTCTTGAGGAAGGGACTGTGGAGGACAAAGATAGCAGCTGCTGCTGCCCATGGTGCCTGACATACCTCCTCTTGCTGGCTTGGAGAGACAGTAGGACAGGGTCTGACAGGAAGTATGTTCCTGCTGTGGGTGCTGTAGCTCCTCGCTAAACATGGTCCCTGCCTTTTAGAATTGACCACCCCCTTTAGCCTGGTCCACTGAATTACGAGTGTTCCACTGTGGCTGATCAAAGAGAAGCAGCTGGCAGGCCAGTTTGACTTTGGATAGGATAGGGAGGGGTAGTAGGATTGAGAGGGACCTCTGTCTTTGGAAACCTTAGAGACAGACTTTCCCCATAATTCTCTGCAGGATTGTTGTTGACTCCTGGCTTCCCAAGAAATCTGTTAGTGACATATGGGCCAGTGTAAGCTTGGGTGCAGGAAGCATCTGAAATATTGCTTTTAATTTTGAGCATCTCATTCCCAGAAAGATATTGACAAATTGGAGGGAGTTCACAGAAGAGAAACAGTTATTGAAGAACTCATTTACAGTGGGAAAAAAACTAACAGAGCTCCATATTTTTTCCTGGCTAAGCAGTGACTAAGGATCAGAGCATGTAGTAAATGTTAGGGTCTAAATGTGGAGGCGATAGAGACGTTATTTAGATTGGTTTAAGGGGATATAAATATAAGTAACAGGATGAAGTGAAGAAAGAGAATATTTAGGGTGAATGTCAAAAAAAATGTCCTGACAGTAAGATGTAATAGGCTGTGAAATGGGGTCTCCCAAGGAAAGTGCTGAAAGCCCAGTTTATATGACAATGCACTAATAAATTCACTATAAAGAAGATTCTTGCATATGCAGGGGAATGGACTAGGTGTTCTAATAGGTCTTTTCCATCTCTAACATCTCTGGTTTTCCTTGTAGATAAGTTTAAGATGAAAGAAGATAAAAGAACATGCCAGAAGGCTCTGGCTCATGGTGTTAACACCATAGATAAAATATAGGTGAAAGGATGTTTTGCTACCGTGTATATATTGTACATAAACCTGTATGTATTGCATTATTAATGTATATACTTAATCATATTTTTGAAGCAACTTTCTATAAAAATACAAAAATTAAAACTTGCTGTCTTCATGTCATATTTTGTTCTTCTGCATGCTCCTTTTACATCTGAATATCTCCTTTCATCAGCCTCTTTCCTTGTCCTCCAAACTCCTCTCATCTATTTGCCGTAGTTCTTACTAAGACCCAAAGCTAGAGGCACACAAAATCCATGGCCAGTGGAGGGCTTAGCCTGGATTATAAAGGCTCCCTGACCTGAAAGGCCTCCTCAGAGCTGCCTGTGGCTGTGGTGCATTTCCTTTGCTGAGCTGCCAGCCAGGCTTTTGGACATGGGCAGCAGCAGTTCAGCCAAGGAGCTTTACAACATCTGAAGGCAGTAAGCACAACAGATGGAGTCAAACACAAATAGCTTTCTCTTGGCACAGGCAGATAACAGCCCTGAAAGATGTTGCTACACTCCTGATTATCACTACAAAGGTTTTTTTTTTCTCCTGCTGACAATAGCCCACCTTAACTGATGACATTTGTTATAGTTGGTATGGCAACACCCATTTTTTCATGTTCTCTCTCTCTCTGTGTGTGTGTGTGTGTGTGTGTGTATATATATATCTTCCTACTGTATTTTCCACTGCATGCATCCGATGAAGTGGGTTTTAGCCCACGAAAGCTTATGCTTAAATAAATTTGTTAGTCTCTAAGGTGCCACAAGTACTCCTTGTTCTTTTTACTCCTACAAGGTTATATCCAGGGGCTCTTCTAATCCAGAAGGCTGGTGGGCAGCAAAGGAAGAGATAATGATGCAATGCAGAGGGAAGAGAGCTGGAGAACTTGGAGGGCAGTGGTGAGAGAGTGAGGATGCTGGGAGAGAGCTGGAGGAATGGGCCAATTCTTGGTTCCACTTTGGGGTTAGGAGAGAACAAAGTAATGTGTGGAACCAACTCCTTTTCCCTCTCCAAATAAAGGGCCAGAGATACTCCTTTGAACATACACAACTTCATGGTTAGTACATTTTTATTATTCACATTCCTTCATTGTTCCCCTAGTAATAATGATGGGGAAGGGGTACTGGGAATCCAGGAGGACTTCCTCACTTCACAACAACCCAGATTTACTGATCTTCAGGGCAAACTGAAAGACACATGCACCCTTCTCGCAAGCTTTTCCTGGGGAGCAGGAGGATGATTGACAGAGCGAATGTTGAGAAACATGCTCATTTCAAGTTATAAAGATGAGGTGACATCACATCGTGGTGTGAAAAGAGGAGGTTCTAGACCCAATCTATATAATAAATGGCAAGTCAACAGGAATGAATGGTAGACAGAGTATTCTGAAGAAATTTGAAAGTGTAGTGGCTGAGCTGCTAATGAAAGTATGCTCATATTAAATCATCTTACACTAGCAACGAATTGGGCAGTTGCAAGTATTATAATTATATTTTAAAAGATGTTGGGGTGACTCTGGGAATTACAGACTATTGAGCCTTCAGTATCAGAAAAAATGGTGAAATGATATTTAAATGCAGTTAAATTATGGCCATCTAGGTATTTTATGAGGGAAAAAAACGAAAACGTTTTCCCATCTACTATGATTGTTTGAGTATGACAACAAAACTGAATAAAGAAGAACTTTTTGGTATAATTTATTTGGCCTTTCAACAAGCCCTTGAGAAAGTTCCTTGCACTAGATGATTAAAAAACTAAATAGTTATGGATTAGAAACTGTCTAAGCGACAGAAAACAAAAAGCAAGTATAGATGGTCAATTTTCATCATGGCAAAAGTTGTTCGCTCTAGGGCCTCCAAGCATTTGCATTAGAACCAGTGTTATTTAATATATTCATTCATGATCTGATGAATGGGGTGGCACCAACCTCTCATGAGCACCCCTTCCGGTCGGGTTTGTCTGCAGTGACCCCTGTCGGTGATTTCTCAGGTGGTTTTTCAGTGACTCAGCCCTCCAGCCAAGTCACACATATTGTCTGTATGTGACTCAGAAGAGACCCCTTCCAGGGTGTACAGTCCACTGGGTCCTATCTCAGTACCCCTCGGTTGGTGTCTCTCTAGCCCTTCCCGGACTCAGTCTTTAAGTAGTCCCAGCCCTGGTATGGGGCCGTACTCCCAGGACTTCCTCCCTGGAGACACTACCTTCCTGCAGCCCTCCCCAGGCTCAGTTCTTACTCAGTCCTAGCAGCCAGCCAGGAGCTCTCTTGCTCCCCGGTCCCTGCCAGCACTGAGCTGTCCTTGGTCTTGCTGCTCTTTCAGCAACCAGGAACACAGTCCTCTCTCCTTCAGCTCCAGGAAGCAACTGACTGCTCTGGTGCTGCTGCTTCCTTTTAGGTGGCCCTTCTGGTCCCTGACTGGTCGCTCCAGCAGGCCCTTTGATTGGTTGTCACTGAGCAGAGTGCACCCCTGTGAGCCCCACACAGTCCTCATCATACTCCCAAAAGTAACATTTTTAAATATGCCCCCACTTTCCACACAAAGCAACTGATGACAAAAGAGGTTGGTGGCACTGCAGAATATGGAGGCTAATCCTTTTTTACTATGACCTCAATGTGCTCACATATCTTGCCAAAGTCATATTCCATCACCAAACAGCATGAATCAGCAGTTCATGTCATAATAAGTGCAATGTCACTAATTAGCTGTTGTCTGTTACAGTTGTTGATGAAAAGGTTTTTTGAGTACACTCACAGTTAATTCTCAATAACCAAACTTAGCTACATTTATTGTCTAAAGACAAAGCAATAGAATACGAAAATACATACCTTCCTTCTGAGAAGCAATTCTTATCTCACAGCATGTTCATTTAATGTAACCTATGTAGAGGTGAGGTAAATCAATTTATTTACTAATTCTGTGCTACATAGTTCCTCTCTCTGACACAGTATTTGCACAGAGCATGAATTCTTATCCTTGCAAGAGACTACAGCTGGATTTTCGATAGGAAACTTTCCAAATACTAAAATGGGAAATTATAATAGGATTGACTTTCTTTCTCTTCTTAGGAATCCAGTACGAGTCTTCACCATAAGACAGTTACACACACAGAGAATTAATCATTTCAAATTCCTTTTTATGTACAACACTCCAAATATGAACCATTAGAGCACAGCAGCTACAATGCACCCTAGCTAGACTAACATCACTAACTAGAGATTTGTTATTTTTCCTTTAAAATTAAGAATATAACACAGGACCTAAACCCCCAATATTTATTTATAATACCTTACAAAATCAGTATAGGCTTTGGGCCTTCTGACAATCAGAGATCTTCTGCTTTCACATAGACTCACTCTGGGTATTATATTGACAATTAAATAAAACATTTAATTGTACTACATAACCAGTTGTTTCAGCATCAACATTACTGAGCACATGCACAACTTAAAATAAGAAAGAAAAAAACTTTACAATTACTGTACAATTACTGTAGCTCCAGAGGTCCCAGGTTCGATCCTGCCCGCTGACGACTGGGATCTGTCGGTATTACAAGTGGGGGCTCATCTGGGACCTCTGGAGCTAAATACATGAGCCTCTACTGCATGAGATAAAAGCCATATGGTCTCTTAGCTAAGGCTGTAGAGCAGACTCATTAACTCTCTCTCTCTCTCTAGGTGGTCTTGGTGCCACTAGATGGGACAGAACACCACATCCAGGAGGCATGTGGGTTACACTTACAAGTTCACTGTTTGGTACATGAACGTGGCAAAGTTGTTGTTAGTGTTCTAGGCACTAGATATTTACATAAATACATTTTAGAAGTCTAATACAGATATACCCCAATCTAGTACAAGATAAAATGGTCTGACAGAACAATTAATAAGGATGTTGTGTCCGAGATATCAGGAACAAGTGGAGGCATCAAACCGATGTCATGAAAGGCATAAGGTGGTATGTAAGTTGTTTATCCCAGTTGTTTGTCTCGGTCTATAAATGTCAGGGTACCTCACCTTAAACCCTTGTGTGGCCTAGGGGACAGCAGAGAATCCCGCTGCTGACTGAGCCATTCCTTGCCACTAGGCACTTGTGTTAGTGTACCTGTAACCACAGAGCAGGACACTAGGACAGTGCCTTGAGGGCAATACAAGTTCCATAACTTGTTTTGTTCTGTACTTTTCTTATCTCTGTTTTGAACACTACATTCCAAACCAGTCTGGCATAGAGGTACATCCCAACCTGTGCTAGGACACACCATTCATGTATCTTGGCTTTGACAGGCTTCCTATTTTCTAATTCCAAAGCTGACTTCAGCTTTGCAAAGTGTTGTGGGATACCTGGCATGGATGAACAGAACTGTGGAGAGAGCATAATACAATCAGTTAACATAACTTCCCAACACTTATATATGTGTAAGGTATATTATATTAATACTTTGTGCAAAATAGCCATTAATATGGTGTATACTACCGCCTAACATATGTGTGTTGGCTCACATGGTATTTTTTAAATTCTATTTTTAGAATTTTACCAGCTAAGGTCCCAATCCTGCAAACACCTACATATGTGAACATTCCACTGAAGCCAAGAGGATTACTCATTTGCATAAAATTAAACATACATACATGTCTGCAGGATTGGGGCCTAATTTTTAAAAAGCCTCTCAGAGTTGTGATCAAATATAACTATGAATGAAAAAAGGATGAAAAAACCACAATGTAGATGTAAGTGAGACACAATTATTTGATGCAATAAAACTGGAACAATGTTAGTATTTTAAGTAGCTTTTACCATTTGAATTTCTGCAATTAAATTATTACATTAATAAATATTAAATATTGTATTAAAACAGCAGGCATATCCTTACCATCCTCAAATGACTGAATTCATAATTAGGAAACAGCTATGCCATCATTTGTATCAATGCAAAAATATCTTTTGTTTCTTTTAATTGAATGATTACAAACTGAAAAAAAGCTGATGAGGTGAGACATCTCCTCCACATATGTCCAGGGTCTCGTCTGTGGTTAGTGTATGTGCAGTACAGGGAAAAACTGGAAAATGGCACACATGCTTTTCTGCAA